CGCGAAATTAGACGATATTGTAGCCGAAAAATTTGGCAATATGGCGTCGAATCAAAATTTGTATTTGCTGTCCAAGAAAATGTATAGCCACGATTACCCGTTAGCGGAAAAAATTCTTGGACGAACCAAGAGGCAGCCGCCATTACTTAGTCCTCCATCGAACAATCTTTTGAACACTTTAGCCCTATCTCCAGTAGCCTCTCCTAAAATACCGTTGCCCGGAAACCCATCCGGGACTCTGTTAGAACTCCGAACAATCTTAAATCTGATGGCTCAAGGAGGTCCCCTTAAAGCTCCCCTTAACAACGTGGTCGTGAAGGAATTGCCCGTAGAGAGGGTTCGTGTTTTGCCGCCCATTATAGAACGGGTGCCACTACCCCCCTTTCGCATACCATATGCACCACCTAGACCGTATTTCCGTGGACCGCCTCCGCCATTTTTACCGCCACCGCCATTTTTACCGCCACCGTATCCTCTTTATCCAAGAATGCAATACCCCCCTACGGTAAATATATTTACGTTAGCAAAACACAGCGTATCATCAATCTGTTTCAAACGATTTTGATATAATTTTTTAGGTAATTTTTCTTGTATATTTTATCCGTATTTGAATGGGACAAAGTTGAAAATGATTTCATGTAACGTAACATTAGAATTTGGATCTTAGGGAAAAAATTTATCATCGATTAATAGTATTTTCGGCGGTTATGGCCGGGCTGGTTGGGTAACTTGCGCGCAAATGATTCTTACGGGCTTGACTCGAAAACCTGTTCCTTCTTAAAAATTTAACTAAAATTCTCTCATTGGTAGAAATTTTGACCTCTTAGGTTTATATCGAAAAATCTTTGGCCAATCACTTTATAGCAACCAATTATTCCTTTTGTCTAAAAAAAAAGATGATTTCGTTTCCAATTGATTTTTGAAATAAAAGTATGTATAATATTTTTTAAATTATTAGATTTTTTTTTTTTTGCTCAGATTTATATTAATTTGCGTCCTTAATCTATCTTAGGTGTTGGGCAAAAGACCCGAAGTCAAGCCACCAAAGTATCCTCCTAACGTTCCGTATCCCAGAAACGCTTTCCGTTATCCGCCTATTATGGACGTGGACTCTAGTCAATCGTCGAATGACACGGATGACATGATTGAACCTCCCAACCAGTTTCTTCCAAGACCTCCTTACCCTTATCCGGTAAAACCTTGAAGAAAAGGAGTCTTTAGCATAAATAACTTAATTTTTACCGTTTACCGTTATTCATATTAAATTATTGAGATATTTTTCCCCTTCTTGATTTTATATTAAATTTGACTATCCTTTTACGTATCTCCTCAGGTATTGGGCAAAAGACCCGAAGTCGAGCCACCAAAGTATCCTCCCAACTTTCCGTATCCCAGAAACGCTTTCCGTTATCCGCCTATTATGAACGTGGACCCTAGTGAATCGACGAACGACACCGATGACACGAATGGACCTCCTTACCAGTTTTATCCGAGACCCCCTTACCCTTATCCGGTAAAATCTTAAACCCGAGTCTTTTTCACGTTTACCCTTATTCTTTATTAAATGACAGATGCTAGGGAAAAGACCCGAGCCCTCTCCGCCCAAGTATCCTTATTACTTTCCGTTTATCTATATCCCTCCGCCTCCCTATCCCACTACCACTTCCACAACTCCAATTGCAATCACTACAAGTAGTACGACCGTCACCTATAAGCCCAGGAGATATCATAGCTAATACATTTTCCTATATTTATAACCATAATAATAAAAAATAACACAAATTTATATATTAATTGTATAGAGAAATTAAACTTTTCAAAATAATTGTAAGTATTAATAAATTTTTTTGAATAAATTTATATATATATATATATTTTTTTTGCAACAAAATAATGGGGAGAAAAAAAAGTCGCTTTTTTAAAGTGGAGAGTGAAAAATAATGATGAACAGGTATTTGTCGCTATTCTTATTATAATTTCGAAATTATCAATAATCAATGTAATGTTCGCAGTGCCCTAACCAGTTGGAAGTAGGCATTTTGGATCTAGATCTTTTTTCTTTTTTTTTTAAATTGTGGTTTTTATGCCTTGCGGGGTTTTACACACAAACATTTAAAAGTGAAATATAAACTTTAACAAAGCATTAATACGATACACCTTACTTAAATTTTGCTTATATTTTATATTTTGCTTTAATACCACCGATATTCTAAGCAGCTCATTCAAGATTTCCATTTTAAAAAGAAGAATATAGCATTAGAAAATATTCTGAATGATTATGATCGAATAATGACTTACAAAATAATTTAACACCCCCCCCCCAAACCCCGTTGCAAGCAACAAGTTAGATTTATCTGAATAATTCATAAAATGGTTGTCGGGAGAAATATATATAAAAAATTTTTTTTTAAATTATCCTACTTTTTCTAATTTTATTGGCCCAATAAGGGGATCCTAGATGGGCCATTAGAACCCATTTTTCCTTGAGACGAGCATTTTAATTTTTTTTTTAGTTCGAGGCTCTGTTTTTCCCTCAGATCTGGCCACTCAACCCCGATTTTTTCTATGAACCCAGACCCTCGTTCGGTTTAATCATTTTATGACTGATTTCTTTAAACCCAACAATTTTTTTTTAAAAAATATATATATATATAAATAAATACGTTTTGAAATACGACTGTCCTAAATTACCATTTTTTAAAGATTTTTTTAAAACTCTTATCCCGTGATTAACTAAAAATTGGTCATAAACAAGTGAAATCCCAGTACGAAAGAAAGTTCTACGATTGAAGGTTCTGAAAGCTCTAAGGCTCTTTTTGGGATCGATTTTTGAAAAAAAATCCGCCCGATAAGATATCGCAAAGTATTATAGATATGTCCTTTATCGTCTCTGTAAAATAAATTTAAACGCGCGTAGAACATTTCCCGTAATCATTAGGAGGCCTCTTTGAAAAGATTATACGTAATTGGAAAGAGATACCCTCGATACAGAAAGAAAAATAATGGATCTTTTAAGGGCTAGCGATACATTCACAATTTAAAGATATTAATAAAGAAAAAATTTTACCTCCGGGAATTTCCTAGAAACTGAGGAACTATTAAGAAAACATATTTTGAAAAAAAATTAGGATTGTCCAATACAAACGTGCAGGAAAAGAACCTGACATGAGAAACATACGAGGAGCTATCAATATAGACGCCAAATTTATTGTATAAAAGTATTGAATATAGCTAAAGAAAGAATATTTTTTTTCTTAGACGAGACAAGGCATAAATTTACATGTCGTGCGTGTTTACGCCTGCGCACTATGTAATGTTACGCTAACCGGTAAAGTTCCACCATCTAAATAAAATGTATGTATATGTATCTACCATTTGTATCGAGGGTGTGATACTTTATCGTATCGTCAAAAGGACCCTATAATAGTCGATTATTTCGAGATTATATGATAGAATTTATTAATATCATACCAAGAGATTATATGTTACAACTTATTAATATCGTAAGAGATGGTATGCTAGAACTTATTAATATCATACCAAGTGATGCGGTTATTGTTATGGACAATGCACCGATCCATAAAAGTCTTCTCATTGATAGCTTTAAAGAGCCAATAGAATATTTACCACCCTATTCGCCGCAGCTGTTTAAAAATATAATAAATTACCAATTACGTCACTTAATCAGTTTTGAAATCATATATAATGGGAGCGGGTTAGTATTCAGATTTTCAATATTCCATTTGAGACTATATAAAAAAATATAAACCAAAATTTATATTAAAATTATGTTAAAAAAATTCTAAATTAAATATAATTATATCTGTTTTGGTATTCTAATCGGTGATATAGATGATTTGCACAGCTGGTCCTGGCTAAAAAAACATATAATCATGGGGCCGGGGAAACTTGTAATATTTATACAGGGCCATGGGTAAACTTTTATAAATATTTTAATTGGCAGGTGTGTCTATTCTGAGCTAATAGCATGTAAAAGATTTTTTTAATTTATTCTATTTATCCAAGTATTATACAGACAAAGTTATTCATTGTAGAGTAAATTTCCAATCGCTAAAAGAACAAGAAAGGAAGGAAGGAAGGAAGAATGAAAGAATGAAAGAACGAACGAAAATATTTTTAAACATTCTTCAGTTATTTAAGAGACTCAAAGAACTATGATATGTTTCAAAACAGTCGATATTAGGACAATATCCCAAGACTAAGAACCGAACCCTAAGATTTTAATTCACCCTCTGAGTTAAAGGGGCCTACAAATATCTAAATCATTAAAGTTATGTCATAATTCTTAAGGGGGTAGTTAAGGGTGATGAATAATGGCTTATAGGTTCTTTTTTTTTTTAAACTAAAATATAATTAATATTAACAATTTTTATTATATTCATAGATATCATTCGCAATATCACATATAATTATTAGCAATTACTATAATTTAGCCACAGGAACTAGTTTACAATAAATTATTTATTAACAGTTTATTTAATATTTTATTATAAACATTTGTTCTAGTTATATAAAAAAATGCGTTTAGATATATATAATATATAAAAATAAAATATATATACAGTGTTGTGATGATTTAATGAAACATATTGACGATTAAATTTAAACCCATTCATATAAAATGATAATATTTGCAAAAATAATTAAAATATAGACAAAAACATTATTGAAATTTCTTTTAATTATTTCTTTTGTTGTAACATTTGTAAAGATTATAATTATATATGCATGTGTTTAAATTAAATCCTCAATATGTTTCATTAAATCATCACAAACACTGTATATATATATTTATTAAATCATTAATATTGTATAATTTATAGTTAATTTTGTATATTATAATTTAAAGAAAATGAACTAGTTTTATTAATTTTAATGAATTGAGCACCTTATACTGTAGTGTAATATATATATAATTTTTAAATTAAATTATGTAGTTTTTTTTTTATAAATATTATTATTAGATATAAAATACAAAAATTTTTTTTTTAATTATTAGGGTTATTTGTGGAGCAGTGAGTATATTTTTGTAGAATGTTGCGAAGATTTCATCGGAATGCATATGTGTATAAATAAAATTTTTCTTCCCTTTCCATCTCGTTTATTTAGGGTAAACAAATCTTGGAACATACGTCATCTGTAATTTCTCCACATTTTTTTCCACCACAAGGAACGCCATTATTCCTCTCATATTATTTATTTATTTTTTTTCAAACGCCTCACAAAAAAAAAAAGACTTCATGTCCATCATTTTTACCACGTTAAGTTATAATGAGGGCAGTTTTGTATTTTTTTTTTTATTTGAATAAAGCGAAATACGGAAGAGATAGTTTTACGATAAAATTAAAACTATTACGAACGCGTAAAATAAAGTAGGGAATGAGCATGCGCGACATCTAGGCGGGGAACTGTTATTATTGCCGAATTTGTAGAAATTCCTGGAAAGGGGGGAAGTGAGTCTGAGATTGCGGTTGTAGTAATTGGAATAATAACTGGCGTCGTCGTCCTTTTCGGGATCGTAATTTCGGCGAGAATCGGCGTTCTCGATGGCTCTCCAAGCGTTAGAACTCCCAGGTTCCTTAAAGTTGGTAAATCCGCTTTTCCTGTTCCGCAAGTGAGCGTTAACCGATGATGAACCTTCATCCCTCGAGGAATAGTGACGGGGATAAACTCCGTAATACGCGCCTGTAAATAATTTGTTTTTGTTTGAGAATAAATCTACTTATAGCTAAATATCTTAACGTATACATGCTAAATTCCCTAATATCTCACAAAACTTTGGTAAGATAGGACCTTCTTGGACTTTTTAAAAGAGAAACTCTCAGGGAATCAAACTATTTTAAGAAGGCATGAATCCAGGGATGAGAACCCGAACCTGGGGTTCAAGAATTATCAACTTTCCTTAGCGAAAATATTAACAACAGGAACTTTATCGAAACCGATTTTCTAAGAGAGGTCCGAACCCGACCCGGATCTTTTAACCCCGGGTTGCTGAGTTGTCCATAAATTTGTCTCGGTTTGGTCCGCGGCCCTAAATGCCCAACCAAACAATTTTACATTTCTGAACCCGGTGTTCGGGTTCACCTACATGCTTGAATCTCATCTTGAAGACACCATCAAGGTGAGTTGTTAAAGATTCAATAAAATATATTTTGTCGATGAATCTGACCCTTATATACATCGAATTTTTTAATTTCCGTTTTTACTGTGATACAGGCGATTCTCGTCCACGATTTTAGGAGTCCGAAATTCCACGTGCGATATCGAACCGGGGCCCGCCTCGGAAAACGCTTGTATATCGACGGCGTAGTCCCTGTCGTGCAATAGATTCGTCAAGTAGAACGAGGTCTGAAACTGGATTTTAGGAATATATATAAGATTTAAATTATCATGTGTGCCGGTTTTATCCAATTAAGATTTTAGCCCAAAATAACAGAGTTGTTATAATAGCTAGATACAATCATCTTGATAAAATGTGGTATCTAGATAGTTTTAAACGTATCTGTATCCAGATAACCTTTTAGGTAATGTATCTGTATCTAGATCCATTTAAAAGTATCTTTTAAACAACTCTGCCAAAATACTATTGTGCGTAAGGCTCGAGATTTGGGCAAAGTGGAAACTCAAATCTTTCTTTCCGCCTATGAGCTGAATTCACCAGGACTTGCAACAATATTATTTTGGTTATAATCGTAATCGGACCGCTTCTAAAAATCGACCCAAACGGATCGTTACACTAATGTAACGCTGGCGAATAATTTGGGATAGTAGCAAAAATTAAATGACAAAAATTATATTTGGAAGAAGAAAAAAAAAGAAAGAGTTATTATTTAAGTGGAGCCAGAAATTTCGCGAAACTAACCCCGAAATTTTAGATGAAAAATATATTTTCGGATTTCGAGGCTGTGCTCTAGATTTTTAAACCGGAAATTATTATTTCGACCTTGTGGGGGAGGGGGGGGGAGTTTTTTGATAATATGGACGCCACATCGAAGATGGCGGAAATATGAATTAAGTAGCATCCAATGCTTATTCGGATTTAATTTTTTTTTATATCAGAAAGTGCCCCTTTGTCTGAACCAAATTAACCGATTTTTAGCCATTGCTATTTATTAAAACCTAGTGGATGTTAAATCACCTAACTTTGACCAACTTCAATATGGGGTGTTCAAGATTATACCCCTAAATAATTGACTTGAACGTCTAGGTTTAGGCCTCAACTTAATGATAGAGACTATTTTTTTTAGACTAAAAATTTGACTAAGCCGAGGGGCCCAAAGTTAGATGGGCTAAACAACATCTAATTAAACCATATGATTAAGATGCCCTTTTTCGATTGGTTAGAAATACGGTGAGACGATTGGTTAGAATTACGGAGTAGATTTTATTTATATATATATAAAATAATATTTAAAAAATTTTTTGCTCAAAATTGAATCAAAAGTCTCTCTTCTTCAAAATAAAATCTTCAGGTGGGGCCCTAGGTCGGCGGAATACTAAATACCCGGCTATTTAGTATCGACTAGATAGCCAAAAAAACGAAAAAAACGAAAGAAAACATTTAAAAAAACGAGAATAAAATACGAAAAAATAACAAACAAACTAAAATAAAATATCCTGATTTTTTTTTAGCCTAGACTAAAAAAAAAGCAATAAAGCAATCCAAATTAAGCCAATCCAGGAGGATACAGCCTCAAAGATTTATTTGGCTTAAAATTTTTCTTAGAAGGTTTTATTTTTTTCAAACTCTGGTTTAAAACAAATTGAAAAAAACAATGAACCTAATTGAAGCGCCAGAAAAAAAACAATTATGCGTTCTTTAATGTTTATAAATTGTAAATGGTATTTTTGGGCGATACCATTTGAAATGCGTTGTTCGCCTTTCTTATAACGCAAAACGCGAACGCTTAATTAGGTCCCACTTATAAAGACAAAAATATGTATTGGAATTAATTTGGATGTTTTCAAAAATTTGTTAAGTAAATTTTTTTTATTTTTCAGGCTTTAGTCTTAAAATTATCAAAAAAATAAATAAAATTTACAAAATTTTCTAAACTTTATATAGAAAAGAAAAATACGCCTAAAATATAATTATAAGAAATTTTTTTAAAAAAATAAAATAATTTGAGGAATAATTTACCGGTGAGAACACTTTGATGAAAATATTGTTATTCTTGTCGAGAGACGAAGTTTGATCGGCGTTCGAATCCGAGTTAGGTAGTCTCATGTTAACGCCACGCTTCCCGTAAAAGACTAATCTATAGCCTATGACGTTAGGATCGCTGGATTCTTCCTGGCCTTTATTTTCAGCATAAGTGGCATCGTCTATTTTGTTAGGAATATTCTGGGCGGGATGGTTGCCTCGAACTCGTGGAGGTCTCCAAGTAATCAGGGTAGTTATGTTGTTGCCTTCTATGTGGTATATATGGCTCGTTAAATTTCTAGGCTTAGCAGGTACTGGTACTGGATTTTATATAATTAGAAAAATATTCTATTATAAATTTCTGACACAAGAACACAAATCCGTTAAATAGATTATTATTTAGAGATTTTTTTTTAAGCGATAAATTTTTATACCGGATATGGGGCAATCCAGGATGGAGCCTTTATCTTGGGATCGGCTTTGCACTTCGGCGCAACTCGGGGTCTGAAAATTCGCCTTGAACGCCTTGAGTGCCGCGTTTTTGAGCGGCATCGTTGGTGGCGACGTAGGGTAAGGAGTTATGCTGATTTCGTATCTGCATTTGAATTTCAAGCCCTGCAGCGTTAAATAAGGGGCGTCCGCGTAGGAATACTGTTCTTTCAAAGCGTATCTATTGTTGTCCGTTTGCGAATTGTACGGAGGGTAATTCGATATTTTAGAGGTAAGCGTTTTAGAGGTGGGATAAGGGGATTTGGAAAGGGTGATTTTATCTTGGGAGGCTCCCTCTATGCACACCTGGGGATGCCACGTGACGCGATACTTTTCAACCCATTTGCCTTTGGGAGTAGGACCTAAAAAAATTTAAATGTAATTATAATTCCAAGTTTTTACTTCATTTATTGGGGCGAGTTTTGAAAAAGTGAGTGTGAATGTGTGATTAAATGTACCCGATTTTGGTGAAATCATTGTCCTCCAGATGACTTTAGCTTTAAGAACCCCGTTTTGATAGAACGAATCGCCGACCGTAATGTTAGCGATCTTTATGAGAACGGGACTTTCGTCCGAATCTTTGATGGGCGAAGCGGCCTGATTCAGAGATGCCGTAGACGCCTCAGGGTTTGCGGTGTCTAAGTATTCCGATTCCTCGTCTATACCATCCTCATTCTCATACGCGGAATCATCGTAAGAGGCTACGGTAGACGATTTGGGGTTGGAAATGGTGGTAGTAGCTAATTTGCTTCTAGCAGAATTCATGTATTGAAGTCGGTCTTCTGTCAGGAATTTTTTGATGCCCAGTAATTTGACTTTGATATTATCGAAATCTGAAAATTAAGAGAAAAGATTATTTATTTATTTATTTCTTTCTTTCATTCTTTTATTTATTCTTTTCATTCTTATATTTATTTATTTCTTTCTTTTATATATATATATATATATATATACACCTGAATCATATATGTTGGGAGTCGTTAGGAATATGGACGATTTTTCTCCCCTAAACTTGAGAGGGCCTTTCTGAGAATATGCCTGCACTTGTATGAAGTAGGTGGTGTCAGGGTCCAGGTTATCGAGTGCTATAGATGTCAAACTCTATCAAAATATAATATATATTGCGAGATTTCAACCAAAATAATATTGTGTATAAGCTTCGAGATTTGGCAAACAGCTGTTCAAACCCTATCTTATGAGTAAAAATCACCAGGTTTACCTATTATTATTTTGGTCAAAGTACTAATCGTAGATCCAATTCAGGATTTTTTAATAACATCAATAATTTATATAATAGAGGTTAATGCGAGAATATAGTAACAAATTCAACGAGCTAGGTTAGATAAGGGCAAAAATAAGTTTTAGCTGTAAAAAAACGCCGCTAGCAGTTAAAACCGTTTAGTCCACATGTTATTATTTTTTTAAACTGAAATACCCCTTGAATGACTTTCTTGAATTGCTTGAGGGCGGATTCGTCAGCTGATCCCGCGTTTCTCAGTTGAATGTTCTGCCCGCTCCACATTATCTTGTATTTGATAACCGGTAAATCGCTCTTCGGGTGGTTCCAATGTATGATTTGGGAGATCTTGCCACTTTTTTGGACAGTGTATTCGCCTATGGTCAGATTGGACGGCATTTGCGGCGCGTTGATACCTAAACGAAAATAAGCATCCAATGAAATAAGATGGTTATTTTTGTGAATATTGAATTTCGGGAAAAATGTCTGACCGGAAATATTAAAAATTCTCTAAAACCCGATCTTTAAAAAGAGTAGTAGTGGTTAAAACCTGATTTAATTATGACGGGACCGCTAGGCTCGGAAAATCCTAAGGTTCCGTTGGGGTTAATCGAAGCGACGCGGAAGCGAATCCAGCTACTAGGCAAGTATTCCTTGATGGTGATTTTCATATTGTTAGTCTTTTTGGGGGATTTAATGGGTAAATTGCGGGGGCAAAAAAAAATAAATTTAAAAAGTCATCGTTTGTTAAAATCTATATATTTTTTTGTTTGAATTCCTATCATAATCGTAGAATTTTCCTTAAAAACTAAAAATACGATAAAAATAAGAAAATCTGAGATGAAAGAAAGAAAGAAAGAAAGAAAGAAAGAAAAGAAAGAAAGAAAGAAAGAAAGAAAGAAAGAAAGAAAGAAAGAAAGAAAGAAAGAAAGAAAGAAAGAAAGAAAGAAAGAAAGAAAGAAAGAAAGAAAGAAAGAAAGAAAGAAAGAAAGAAAGAAAGAAAGAAAGAAAGAAAGAAAGAAAGAAAGAAATAATCAAAAGAAATATCTAAAAAAAACATAAAATTTAAATCGCCAAACTGTGATGGTAACAGTGTTAGTTACCTCGAATGCATAGCGGGGCTATGGCGATCACGATTTAACAGCTGATCGATTTGTTATAAAAAAAATCTGTTTTATGAAGAATTCCATTTTTATTTAATTAATATTGATTTTATCTTTAATTCGATTCTAATAAAAAAAAAATTGATCTCATAAACAGTTCCTAAAAAAACTGTCAGCTGTTAAATCGCTATCGCCATCGTGCCACCATGATTTCAAGGTTTTAACGGTTCGACTTGAGGCGATTTTTTTTAAAAAAAACGGTCAACTCAATATTTTTAGCCCAGAAAAAAATATTGTCCAGGAACCTCGAGATTACTTCTACTAGATATCCGAACCTTTTCGCGTCTTCTATGACCAAATTCTTCGAAGTTCGTGTAATAATTTTGAGAGGCCGTTTTAACCAATACTAGGAAAAAAAAATAATCAAAGAAATTTAAAAAAAATTACTATGGCCATATCTCTCCATTCGGACAAATGGTGGTTAGCCGGCTTTTTTTCGCTCTCTACGTTCAGCTGACTTTGAACGACGTAAAGGATGGAAGATATGGAGACGTTGTTGTTGGACGTCGTTTGGAAATAGGTAGCTGGTATGGTCCAGGATAATCTATTTAAAAAAAAATATATATACATATATATAAGAGATTTTTTAAAAGAACGGGTAACACAATACTTCATCCAGAAAAAAAATACTAACCAAACCTGAAGATTTTTGCTAATAGAAGGAACAGGGGTCTAGAACATATATTATCGAAATCTCGAGGATTAGGGAAATATTTTTCCTGGCTAAAAATATAGAGTTAGCCGTTTTTTAAGAAATCGGACCCAAAACGAGTCGTTTAACAACAACAAGCCTTGCGTGTGATTATCGGAATGATGATCTTAATGACTCTTCTCTTCTCTTCTCTTCTCTTCTCTTCTCTTCTCTTCTCTTCTCTTCTCTTCTCTTCTCTTCTCTTCTCTTCTCTTCTCTTCTCTTCTCTTCTCTTCTCTTCTCTTCTCTTCTCTTCTCTTCTCTTCTCTTCTCTTCTTTATTAACATTTTATTTTTGAATTTAATCAAAGATGATTGCTAAAAAATCGCGATATTTATTTGGGCAAAAAAAAAATTGATCGTTTTTTTTAAAATAAACGCGTTGTATAAAATGAGTGGCGTTTGTTAAACGGCTAACTCAATATTTTTAGCCAGAAAAATATTACTGCAAGTACCTGAAGATTTTGATCATAGCAGGAACAAAGGTCTGTACATATACGAATTTTCAAGCTAACTCAATATTTTTAGCTAGAAAAATATTACAGCAAGTACCTGAAGATTTTGATCATAGCAGGAACAAAGGTCTGTACATATACGAATTTTCAAGCTAACTCAATATTTTTAGCCAGAAAAATACTTGCCGTAGGCTTCGAGATTTCGTTATTAGATTGTCCAAACCTTCGTTCCTTCTACAAGCAAAATCTTCAGGCTTCCGTTAATATTATTTCTGGATGAAATACTGAGTTAGCCGTGTTTTTAAGCTGTTTAACAAACACTAAAAAATAAGAAATTTTTTTTTTTTAGTATTTTATGAATATGAATTTTTTTATAAAAAAAAAAATCTGAAGCGAAAATTTAAATTTGTCAATTATATTACTAATTTTTAAGTATTTATATTTAGAATTATTTCAATTATTTTATAAGAGATAATTTATTATTTTTTAAAAAAAAAATGTGTTAGTTACGAATAGTGTCGTTAAACGGCTAACTCTATATATAAGCCAGAAGAATAAAATTACTTAGGGCCTCCGAGATTTTGGTAATAGTTGTCTCTAGACTTTTGTATGCCATCTAAATCCTTCAGGACTTGAGTAATATTTTTTTCTGGATTAAATACTGAGTTCGCCGTTTTTTATTTAAAATCGGGGAAATGAGCCGTTTAACAACACTAGTTAACAAAGAATAAGAAATATTTGTTTTGAATTCATATTTTCATAAATCAATATTATTTGCGAATTAGTTATTTGGTTTACTGTATAACGGTCCGTCCTTCCCCGTCTTTTTCTAACTCTTTGTTGACCGCCGTGAAGAGTGGTTTGGGTGGGACATCTATGAAAAAGAAAGTTATTTAGGAATAATCTTATTATATCTATGTAGGAGGTTTAGCAAAATCTTATAAATGACGTTTTTTAATAAAAAAAAATCTTTTAGGAAAATTGACGAAATTTCCCAGGGGCAGATTGATCCATACGCGGTTCAAACGTGAATCCCTCAAAACATGTGTTTTTTTTTCAAAAGTAAAAAAAAAGACACGCGATATAAATTTTGGTTAAAAAATACTTGGAGAGTCTATACAATGACATGTAGTAATACCAGGCTGGCGATTAATTCATTTAAGTGCTCATCGATACAAATCAGCTGATAATATGGCATTTTCGATTCCCGCCAAAAAAAATTGGAAATACAATTTTTATTTAAAAAACTAATTAATTTGGGGGGGGGGGTGATAAAAATGGTGTGCCGTCAGGTGATCAGTATTCAATGACACTTCAAAAAATACATTTTATGCCAAACCCTTATGACATATATTATTGGCGGAAGCTATTGATACGAACAATATTATACATTTTACTACATAAATAACTATAAATTATCCACCAAATGTTGTTAACACGCTATAATATATTTACCGTAATTTATCAGCTGACAATTTGTGTTTCAACCACCAATAGAAAAGAAGAAAAAAGGAAGTGGAAAAAAAAGGGATTAATCGTGGCTTTATTTAAGTGCATAATCCTAGATTGCAAAAAAAAAGGATAATGATACGAAAAGATTACATTTTTTTCTAAATGACAAACAATTTATCCTTGAAAAAAAGATAAAATTTTATCACTTTGTTTAAAAAAAGTAAAACATTTATTTATATATATATAAATATATACTTAAAATATATAATCCCACCAGGAAAAAAAAATTAATTATTTTTTTTTAAAGTTTTATCTATTTGGAGAGAAGAGGGGGGAGGGTTGTTGGTTATTTTTTTCATCTATTCAAAAATGAGTTATTAAGAAAATTAAAAATTTTAATTGTGACAACAAATTTTTCTCTTGGAATTATGAATTGTCTCCAGAATCTGTCAATTTTTAAATAATCTGATTTCACAGAAGAAGGTATTATGTATTAAATAACCTAACCCCATTGACTTCAAACAATTTTGCCGTAAAACTTTTAAATTTACTCCTAAATTTATAATAATCTTTTTTCTTTCTTTCTTTCTTTCGTTCGTTCGTTCTTTCTCTTTCTTTCTCGCAACAAATTATGGTAGTCTAGATGCGAATTTTGCGCATGCTCAAATAACATTTCCCATAAAATCTTTGCATAAAACGTGATCTAAGTCAGGTTAGAATCTTATAAGATTCAAAATTAAGCTTTATGGTTATTTATTCTATTTTATTTTTTTTCAATAATTTCTTATTTAACTTTTATCTTGACTTAGAGATAAAGAATAAGATAACAAAATATTGATAATTTTCTATATAAATGTATATATATATTTTTTTTAAATATTCATATTCATATTATTTTGTAATAATAAATGAAGAAAAAAAAAATTAATAATATTTTTTGTTATCTTTAAAAGTGTTATAAAACAAGATTTATTTTCGAAAGAAAAATTTCGTGAATATTTTGGTTATCTCTCTTTCTTTCCCTATTCTATTCTATTCTATTCTATTCTATTCTATTCTATTCTATTCTATTCTATTCTATTCTATTCTATTCTATTCTATTCTATTCTATTCTATTCAACTTTATTTCTCATTCTCAATTCCATTCTTTTTTTAATTTAATTTTATTCTTATTTTTTTTTTAAAAAAACCTTCAGTAATAGTCTCCGGATATTGGCAAGTCCTTCCGCACCTGTGAGAACAGCACTTTTGGATCCCGTTACAGTCGCTGTCCTTTTGGCAACTCTCTATGCAAGCCAGAGCGAATCCCGACATTTGTTGGATGGACGGACAATTGCCTACCTTGTTTATGCTAATGTCCCGCAAGAAGGCGCACGAATCCATGCAAGACTTTTTGCGATCAGCTGTTAAGCTCTATATAAATATGGATAATAATTTTGATTCAATAAAAAATTTTGATTTCTTTCTTTCTTTTCTTTTCTTTCTTCCTTTCTTTCCTTGTCTTGATCATAATAAATATTACATATATCAATAAAATGAGGGAGAGAAATAACGGAAATTTAGCGTGACCAATATTATAATTTATTAACGTCTTTGGCCTCTCATTAATTTTTTCCGATATAATATTTACTGACACTCGTATCTTTAACCACTTAATTTATAGGCGAATATAAAAAAAAAATGGACAAAATTATTTATGCATTATATAATTTAATATCATATCAATTCTCACATATATATAATAGTATTTTTTTTTCGTATATTAAAATATTATAAATAAATTATATTAATATTTTTTTTATATTCTTGGTTTAAAAAAATAAATATAATAAGGATAACGTGATAAGATGATAAAATTTCGCCATTAATTACATTTGTTTTTTTTATAGCCCTTAATAAAGTAAGTAGAACCTCTTAACAAAATAGAGGCTTCGATATGTTTATAGGGTTCAGGTTAGGTTCTTAGCAAATAAAATTTTTTTAGTAAGTGTGCTTATTAGAATAACAAATGGTTTAGAATTTTAACAGGTTCGGAGGTCTGGTCTTTTCAAAGGTTCGGTTATGATTCGAGTGATAAATTTTTTTTTACACTTTCAGGTTCGGTCAACAGTAATCGTTATTATCGGTTCGGTTCAAGTTCTATTCGAATCCTAAAAAAAAATTATCCGATATAAGTTAATTTAAGCGTAGCCGCATTTACGTTTCTTTTTAATTTGCGTTTTAAAACACTGCCTTTTGAAGCTGCGTTTCGAAACGTTTCAATTTGTGCGCGATATATAGGAAATGTAAATTTTATTTACTTCGAATTCGTACCGGCGCGATTGCCATCGCGATTTAACAGCTGATCGATTTTTTAAAATCTGATCACGAGATCAAACTTTTTTTTTTACTAAAAATCATTATTCATTAGATTATTTGAATTATTTATGAATCGAATTTAAAGATAAAATTAATTATTAAATAAATAATAGATTGATCTCATAAAAATTGATCTTTAAAAAATCGATCAGCTGTTAAATCGCGCAATCGCGAATCGCGTCTCTATAAATTCAAGGGTAAAAGGCGATGAATATCATAAATTTATATACAAAATATTTATTTTCAACAAAAAAAAATTATATTAACCTTGCAATGATCCAAGCAGGATGAAAATTCCGAGAACGGCTGAGTGCAGGGCTTGGAACACTAAAAAAAATAAAATAATACTATATATAGTATAAAAGTATAAATATTTAGATATACTTGTTGTAATTTTTTAAAAAGGAAACGGAATAAAAAAATGGAAGAAAGTTTCAAAAAGAATAGAAAATGGAAAATATCGGAAAATTAAAATTCGGAAGGCAGAAATTTTTTGGAAGAAAAGAAGAAAAAAAAAATCTTCAATTCTTGAGGCAAAATTCTTTGAAGATTTTTTTGGAATAAAATTTTTTTATATATAATTTGTAAATTTTTTTGACATATTAGCACCAAAATCACTGGGTTCAAAATCCTGCTAAATTAGTCTTGCTGAATTATAGCTAATTTTAAGACGAGGCCTGACTGCGCGTAAAGTCTTGACTGCGCATAGGGTCTTGACTGCGCGTAGGGTTTAGCCAATTTTAAAACGCGAAAGAATCTTGGCATAGCCATATAGGAGTCGGTGGTCAAAATTGTTCGATTATACATGGCCAAGTTTTTATTTAAGCCCCGTGGTGGTGGCTAGTTTTTTTTATATTTGAAAACATATTTCTGTTTAGCCCCAGGCTAAATAGTTGGGGCACAAAGGTCTAGACGCCTATTAGCGAAATTTCGAAGGCATGGGCATTATTTTTTTCTGGCTAAAATACTGAGTTGGCCGCTTTTTAAAAAATCGGCAAAACGAGCCGTTTAACAACACTACCGGTGAACAAAGCATAATTTAATATCGTACCGTACCGTACCTCTTCACCATGAGCATAAAGTGTATACCCGAGGCGAAAGGGGACAGGGGCACTATGGATATCCTATTTGTTTGTATATATATATGTGTGTTATGGTCACAATGTATTTTTTTCCGGTAGTGTTATTCAGAGCTGCGTTATTTTAAAAAATATCTAAAAAATCTGAATTTTTACAGGAAATATATTCCATTTGTGTATTTTGAATATACCTAACCCTAATAAATTTCGCAAAATTTTTCTCGTGAAACTTTTGATATTTGATAGTAATTTTAATATCCGTTTTTTTCCCTAGATTCTTTAGAGATATAAATTATACGTGAACTTCAAAAGATAAAACGGCAAAATTTGTTCCGCAATTCGTAAAAGACAGGTATTCTAAACATACGTGAATATATTTCCGGTAAAAAAAACTAAAATTAAAAGGAAAAAACGCGGCTAACTTAACAGATTACCGGAAAAACAACGCATCTACGCTAACATATATAATAAGATACTTTTTACATACTTATCTAAAAATAGCCTTCTTTTCTATTTGAGGTTCTTTTAGAGGGGTTAGCTATAATAGATGGCTAAACAGTCTGCTGTATATAAATAAGAACAACTTGCCCTCGGTTAAACCCGACTATTGTAATCAAAGATTTAAATCCGATCCTAAAAAGAATAAGGAAGCTAGAAAAAGTTTTACGCCTCATTTATAGTAAACGCGATTTGTGCCAAAATTTATCGCCGAGTATACGGAGGAGCCCAAAATATGAAATAGCGTGAGAAAAACATATGTCGCGACGCGACGAACAGACGAATCAACTGCGATTTAGTTAGGATTTTCGCATCCCTCGACCGTATCGCGCTTACTATAAATGCAAGCGTCAGGATGATATATAAAAAATCGGCATAATATCCAGCCCGAATATGTCTGTAATCCTATCACTGTTTGCTACTATAAATGCAGTGTAAGGATGAGATATAGAAACCCGGTATAATATCCGGCCCGCTCCAAATGAACATTTTAACATCGAAGTCCGGTTCGACCAAATTGGAAGAAGATGTCTGTTTCCTAATCCTATCAATATTCGCAAGTTTTACGCGCAAGATCCAAAATGAGTACATTTAAAAAATCAATGTTTTTTTTTGTTTTTTTTAATCTGACCACTTTAAATAATCCATTATTTAAATGATGATCGGACAATTAACTTTTTATACATGTATTGTATATATATAATTACGAATAAAAATATTTTTTATAAATGTAAACATTTTTTTTTCCCCCAATAAAATATCCATATTTTCGTTAAAATATATAAATAATTATTATTTATTAGTTTAAATTAGTTATTAATGGGATTTTTTTCTCGGAAAAGTTTAATATAATATAGTAATATAATATATATACACAAATATTTTCTGGTTTTTGTTTTAAATAAAATAAATTAACTCTCAAATAAGCTAAACTTTTTTACGTTATTTTTTTTTTGCTAATATTTTGGTATGAAAAAAAGGCTTAGGGAAAAATAAAATATTTAAAAATATTTTAAGCGTAAATTACATTAAGTGTCCTAATAAATATGAGGAGAGAGTGGGGAGGAAGGCATTGGCTAAATGATATTAGGACGGGATAGTGCATAAACCTATTATATTAATATAATGATTCGATATTTTATTTTTTGGCTTTTCTTAATGTAATAATAAATATTTTGATAGTATGTATTACTTCTTTCTCTTTTTTTTAACTATCGATTTTGTAAAGGTTTTTCTTTATATTAAATTAAAATAAATGAAAGGAAAGGGAAATAAATAAAGAAGTAAAAGGAATTATAAAAATAAAGAGAAGAAAAGGAAAAATAATTTTTTTTTATATATAATTACACAGAATTAGGGGATGAAGAAGTCTCGATATTATTTTTTGGGAAATATATAATTCTATCTACACAATCCTTATATTTTCTTAGACTCTTATTATTATGACGAATAAGCATAGCAACCATAAGATTATTTTTTTATTTTAATAAAATATCAAATATAAAATATATATATATGTATGTTAGCGGCAAATGTATTATTTTTTACAATTTTAAGCCCGTTCATGTTAAACTTAAAATTTTGATTTTACCGAAAATATATTCTATCATGTTTGGATTACCTATCTTAAGAATTGTAGACAATTTTGCCGTTTATCCTTTGATCCACTCATAATTTATATAAAGAATATATATGGGAAATCTAATATAGATTATATTTACATTTAAAAGGTTCGTGGAAAAATTGTCTGATATTATTCATAGGTTATAGGTATTCCAGGCAAATTTTTAAAAAAGCGCTCAAAAAAATGATTTAAAGTTGTAAAAATAACAGATTGATTGCTGATATACATACGTTCCTCCAGCAAAATTAAAGAATCCTGAGGATAAATGCTAGATGGAAACTCTGATAATCATCAGTAAAGTTAATATTTAGTAGTGCTTAAACATCTTTCCAACTTCTTCGTCAGATGTCACCTTAAAAATGACGGATTTAACACGTGATTATAGAAAATATCGAACCCGAATAAATTTATAAAAAGATGGCCCTTTTTTTATTTTTTTAGAAAAAAAATCACATTTTATTTTAGCAATTCCGTTCCCATTCCAGAGAAAGAATTTTGAACAGAAATATTCTTCAACCCTAACCTCTGCGTAACGAGGGTCAAAAACCGAAACTTGAGACAGTTAACGGACCGGTTTTGCCTTTAGTCTAGACCAAGAAATAAGACATTTCTTGAAAAATTAATATCGAAAACATCTATCCCCACATCTGGTTTAAAAGGATGTCCCCCTAACTTTGGCCAAACTCTAAAAAAATTATTTAGTCCATGCTTTTTATCCCCCATAATAAAAACCTTCTTATAGATTTTCAAGTTGAGAGCTTAATCTTAGAAGGTTCTAAGAATCGTGTTTTTTTAGGAGGGTATAAAGAACACGAAAAAAAATAACATAACGTTTTGTAAAAATAAATTTTTTAAAAAAACGAAAAAAACACATTTAGCTAAAAAAAAATTCGTTATAAAAGTTGTTTTTTATTATTCTTTTTCGTTTTTTTTAAACAAAACACCCACACGTTTTTGAAATGATTTTTTTAAAAAAAAACGAAAAAAACACCTTTAGCTAAAAAATCCATTATTAAAAGTTGTTTTTTATTTATAATTATAAGTGTCATTAAAATTTTATGTTTTTTTCCCCGACCAGGTTACATTATGGAGTATATATAATCGGACATACAAATTTTTTTTTTTTAAAAAAAAGAAGGATTATTATGTAATTTAACACCTTTTAAATTTTTTTTTTTTGGTTTATTAAATGATATAATTTTTATCTTTAAAATCGATTAAAAAGTTAGAAATACACGACATTCGAAGGTATTTTATGTAATATGTTATCATCTAATATGATATTACAAAAACTTCTTAGATGTTTAGAAGCACCTGGTCTGCATTTTTTTTTTTTAAATCTAAAAGAAGATTTAGATTTTTTTTATAAAGTTTAAATTTTTTTTTTTACTTATCTTTCCAAAAAATAACTTGTCTAACATCAAGTTACTTTTCGAAAGTAACTTTTAACAACATTTATATCGTTAAAATTAGGGGAATCAAGCTTATATATTCTCATAGAAAAAAAAATTTTTTTTAAAGTTAATTAGAAAATAACCTATTAGTAGATTGATAGAGAAGTAGATATATTAATTGTTATTTAAATTGAGTTTTTTTTTAAAATAAAAATTACTAAAAGTATTTACTTCTCTATGGTATCTTATTACCATTAATTTCGAATTTACTTATAAAAAAGGATTTTTTTTTCTAGGGAGATGTAAGCTAAGTTCCAAAATTTCTAGCAATTTAGATAGCGGGAACCATTTTAAACTAAAGTATTACATATTTACTATTTTATTTATATTTAAAAAAAAAAAAATCATATTGCTGCTGAAAATCGGTAAGTTTGGTATCCAAATTTTAGCAAATATTTTTTATTATTAGAATACCCTAAGACTTAGCGGCCGCTAAAGACGGGCTCAGTTTAAGAGTTATAACCAAAATAATATCGTCTAAGCCTTGCTCATGTACGATGGGGCAGAAAGGTTTGGGCTTATACAGTTTATAAAAACCGGCCCAAACCGAGCTTTTATATACCTAAGATCCTAATCCATAAAAATTATTGGCAAGAGATTTTCTTTATAATACACAATTTAAGTCATTTAATAAAAATTTCGCTTATGATATATCGCTTATACCTAATGCCCGAATTTCCTATTTTCTAAGCGGTTTTCATTCGCGAATCCCGTTTGCGACGAAATGACAGAAAGAGTCGTGTGATCCAAATATGTCATTTTAAAAAAAATTAGCGCAAAATATACAGTAATAGTTAGTGTTAAAAAGCCGGCCAAAATAATATTATGTAACTAGAAAATTTTTGGGCAAAATAAGATGTCCGAACCTTTCTAAGATCTATTGATCAAAATTTTTTCGCTTTTTGAATAGGTCTTTAATAAAATTATTATTAATCTATCTGAAGATTTACTTTGCTTTTTGTTTGTTTGTTTGAATAAACCCTATTTCACTAAAAGCTTATAACTAGGATACTTTGTAAGGAGTTCTATTTATGATTGTTTTATACCTCACGTTAAGATAATCCAATATTTATTTTTTCTTAGTTTCTAATTTAACCCAAATTGTAGGACTCAGGGTCGTCCCTTCTAGTCTTAATCCACTTGATCAGACCCCTAAATAAAACTTAGCTGAAAAAGTATTGGGCACATTTTCTTTTCTTTTTTTGGCTCAGGACTGAGTTCAAGTTAGTCTTTACTTACTTAGCAATTCTACTAGAATTGGTTCGTGACCTAGAATTTGTTGTTTGTTCGTAAAAAAAAAAAATTCTTTTGAAGCTAGTGTTGTTAAAAAACCCGATATTAACGATTATTATAACCAAAATTACATCAAGATGTATTCCTAAAGATTTTTGCACATAGCTGGACTGAAATGCTTGGACATCTAATATACCAAATCACAAATTGGGCTTTTGTTAACAATGCTTACTATTTTTGACTCATTTACCTATAAAATACATGTATATATATTTTTTTTCTTTATATAGACGACACCACCTTCACTAACGATAAAAGTATATAAAAGTTAAGTTTTTTTTTGGTAGTTGAAGTAGATTAAATTTAATGTCTGTTAGGAGTAAACTAATATTAATAATATATTTTTTAATATGCACGATTAAAATTTGCAACAGGTATGTATATTAACTATTATGTACATTTTTAAAATATACTAATTAATGATAATTTAACACATAATTTTCAACCCCCTTTAAATATCATTTTTTAACCTTATCTTTTTTTTTCAAATTCATCTTTATATCTGTACAAATATATGTTTCTTATCTAGCGTTATCTTACACTTCACCACACCTCTTGAAAAAAAATATCATCATTTTTTTTAAACATTTATATTTTTATATTTTTTATAATTAATAGCTATAATAGTAAAAAAAAAGAGTTTTTTATAATTGTATATAAAACATTTTTAAAAAGATAACAAAAATAATTTTGTAACATAATTATAATATGGTTTTTGCTATTATAACAAAATAATAAATATTATTTTATTAGGGTAGTTAATAAGAAGTGTAGTGTAGGTATAGATAGATAGTCATATTTCAAATTATATCTACTACCGACCTGTGATAATATAAATTTATATTAACTAATATTAAAAAAAATAAAATGTTTATAAAAAATATGTTTGCAAGAATTAAAATATTAAAATAAAGATCTTTAAAATGAGATTAATAAAAATTAAAATTGTATTATTTTATATAATGAAATTTGTGATGAGAAACTAAATTGAACATAAAAAAAAATGATTTGTTAAAAAAAATTTAAAAGAAGCAATTATGGCTGGACTGACTGGCCACCCCTTTTTTTTAAACGGGTAAATTGTTCATTTTCTCTCATTTCATTTCTTTGATTTTGTTTTCTTTTTTCTTTTACAATCTTTTTAAACTTTTCCATTCGTTTACTTTTTGTCTTATTCAAACTTTTTCGGATGCTGCCTCTTAACTTTTATAGCCAATAAAATGAAATTTATTTACGATTTTTTACGGGCCGGGTCGAGTAACTCGAATAATAAAATTCGCCGGTTAGAAAACCGGTCTAAGGTATTTAGCGGGTCGGTTAGGGTAGTGAATTCTTTTTTTAAATATTAGTTACATTTTTTTTCAAAATAACTATTAAATTTTTTTGATTTAAAATGTTTTTAATAAAATAAAAATCAATAGTTTATATAATATAATTAATTATATATTATAATTTTTTTAAATAACCATTAAAAATCTCCACTTTTTTTTTTGTTTAATAAAAAAAATATCTTAACACACCTATTATTATATTATAATTTTCAAAAACTAATGTTTTGGTATAACAAATCGATGGATTAATGATTTTTCATTGACGAATATGATAAAAAGAAAGAAAAGAAAGAAAAGAAAGAAAGAGAGAAGAAGAAAAAAGAAAGAATAATTATAACAAATTTCACTTATTCGTCATATAAGTTCCTAATTATATTTTTACAAAAAGGTCTCAAATTTCAAATCCAATTTTATAATAATAAGGTTATTAAATTATTCATTATTATCTAATTTTTAATCTTTTTTTTTATCTTTTTGTTAAAAAAAAAATTATCAAAAAATATAATATGGTGTGGTAAAAAAGGTGTGATTGGAATTAAAATGGTAGGATGACAATTTGACAATAAAACCATCATTTTTTTTAAAAATTTTATTATCTATTAAAATAATATAATAGATAATAAATTTTAAATATTATATATAGTTAAAAATCAAAAAAAAAGGTGAAAAAATTCGGTTCAAAATTCCGTTTTTGTTTGCTTTATTGTCATTTTTTTGATTTTCAGGTTGATAAAGAGGTATGAATAGTGGGGAGTGAAACTGTTATATTATTCTATTATATATATATAATAGAATATAATTGGATATGATAATAAAAAAAAATTTTTCGCAATTTTTTTCAAATTTTGTGACTCTTATTTATGGTTTATTAAATAAGTTTTTTTTTATTATACTAAAAAAAAATATGGGCATTATTATATGTATATACCAATTATCTGTTCATCATTTTATATCAGTTATTATTATACTATAAACTATACTATATTATAAAGTAATAATTGTAAATGAAATATTCATGTTATACAATAAATATTTAATGAAAATAGGATGGTAAAGGGGAATGGGTCATAAAATGTAAAAGCCATCTATCATTTTTTTTAAAAAAAAATAAATATTTTCCGCCGGAAATAAGATTTTTGTAATAATGGCACGTTTCCCTTTAAGATCCGTTTCGCGAATTGGTAAATATATAAAATAACAATTTTTTTCTTTATGAGTTGGAGTGGCGTGGAGAGGGGGGGGAGAGATAGAAGTGACAAGTTATTTTAAAAACCAACATTCCAACTTTTATAGTTTAGAGGATAAATGAATACAGATGGTTTTTACCGTCTCTCAAAGCCTTATCGTATTTTTATGTTTTTTAAAAAAAAAAATTTATGCTATTAATCATTTAGAACGCAAAAAAAAAAAAATTAATTTGCAAGAATTTTTTGTTTGAGGGGATGTTTAAAAAATTTGCTGGGGGGTCCCAGACCCGTCCCAAAGCTCAGTTTGTTACAGACCGGGGCATCTTTTAAACTTTTCCGTGACAAAGTTCATTATTATAACTAAAATTTAGAAAAGGGGAAGGTTGTCCTAAGCCGAAGAAGAAAAAAAACTCGCAATAATTTAGTTTTGGCGCCAACTCAAAATTTAATACAAAATTTATAAAATTATTAAATATCGTTGACGTCTTTTCTAAGTCATTTTATAACCTTTTACTCCCGTTTGCGTCTACAAAATAATATTATTCCCTACAGCAGACAGTGTTCTTAAATGCCCTCCCCCCCATTAAGATTCTTAGCTAAAATAATAGTAACTAAGCCTGTTGGATATTTAGCAGATAGAAGTTTCTAACCTTTCGGCCATCTACGATGAGGGAAAAAAGCACATTGACGCAATTTTATATATCGTAAGTAATGAAAACTTATGAAAAAATAAAATAAAAATCAACTTACAGCTGAGCATTCTGTATAGTATTGGCATTTGCGACGAAGATCTAAATCTTCTATTCTCGCGCCTTTGTATATAGCTTGACCATTTAGCTTTAGAATATAAAATATTTTTTTAAAAAAAGATATTTAATTTATCAATAACAAGAAAATAAATTATATATATATATCATCTTATTTTCCTTCAAATTCGCGGTAAAAAAAAATACGCGCATCGTTTCCCGTCATCCTTGGCGCCTTCTTTTTAACTGCGAAACCGGAAATAGAACCCGAAAAACCGGAACCTTTCGGGAAAAAATATTTTAAAACCAGGGATCCGAGATAGAAATCGTTCTCGAATGTAATTTTGTGTAAGTTCCACTGGCTCGATCGTTATAAGGTTCTAACTCCACTTAAAGTTTAAAAATTTGGAATTTAGAAAAATATGAAATATTATTTTCTATAATATCAAACACAAACAAACAAAAAATTCCCCAAAATTTTCCATTCCTTTTATTCAATAAATTATTAACTCTTAAATTTTTTTGTTTAGTAAGGAATGTTGGGTAAGCTTAACTAAACACTAATCTCATGTTTGATGGTTAATAATTCGGCCTTTAAATTAAAAAAAATAAAATGACAAAGTAAAAATATTATTTCATACGCCTCGTTTAATATAGGATTTATGAATAACCAATTTTTAAAAGGCAAAAATTTTATTTTCCTCAAATTAAATTCAATTCTTATTCTCTTATATTATATTTTTTTTTGGAATAGATTTATACAGAGATTCAAATCATATTCCATATTAATCTCCTTTTGTCTGTATTATAATTACTAAAAAATACTTAAAATGAGATGAAACGCCCCCCAAAAATAAAGTAATATTTCTTTTTTATATATTTATAATTCAAAATATTAATATTTTTAATAATAAAAAAAAAAGAAAAAAAAAGTCATATATAAAAATTAAATACGATTTTCATTTTCGATAAGAAAGAAAGAAAGAACAGAAAGAAAGAAAGAAAGAAAGAAAGAAAGAAAGAAAGAAAGAAAGAAAGAAAGAAAGAAAGAAAGAAAGAAAGAAAGAAAGAAAGAAAGAAAGAAAGAAAGAAAGAAAGAAAGAAAGAAAGAAAGAAAGAAAGAAAGAAAGAAAGAAAGAAAGAAAGAAAGAAAGAAATAAATAAAGAAATAAAGAAATAAATGTTTTTGAAAAATAAGAAAAAAAATAACGTAAAAAATGTTTAGAATCTGGAATTTTTTTTTTTATAAATCGGAATAAGAAACATGTTGTTATTTTAAACAAGATTGTCCCAGAACGGCTTAACCCAATATTTTATCCGGCAAAATATTGCACTAAGCTTCGTGATTTCGCTAAATAGATGTTCTAAACCTTGGTTCCTTCTACAAACAAAATCTTCAGGCTCGCGTTAATATTATTTCTAGGTGAAATATTGAGTTACACCGATCAACAACACTTCGATTTTTTCTGCTCGCTGCACTTCATTTCTATTCTTCTTTTTTCTTGGATATACTTCTTCTATAGAAGGAAAAAAATTCAGAATTTTTGGCATTTCTAGAGAAATTCCCCAGATTTTATTCAGGTGAATATTTGATAACCATCTTTTAACATATTTGTATAAACAATGCAACTATAATCGGTGTTGTTAAAATGGGATGGATTTAATACCAAATTTTTTTTTTTAACTCAATATTTTAGCCCCAGAGAAATATCGCCTTGACCCGCTAGATTTAGCTAATAGATGTTTAAATCCTTTAACGCCATCTTAGGAGCAAATTCTTGAGGTTTTTTTTGGAATAAAATATTGAGTTATAGCCGAACACTAAAACATATATAATTAGTCATTATAAAGAAATTTACTATAATATATATATAATTTAAAAAAAATGATCATAGCAAATTTATAGATTATAACAATTATAAATTATATACATAAGTTAATCCTCTATGTCTAAGTTCATAATATAATATAATATATACATTTTTACATATGAAAAAAAAGTGTGAAAGTAAGACATCACCCTCTGTCCCACTGAGTTCAAAAATACAATATACAATATGCCATATTATATAACTGAAAACAAGACGAAATGTACATTTATTGTATAATAAGGCAAATTTAGTACCTAATATAATCAATCTCCGTTGCATATTTCCACAAATATAAGATACATAAATAAATAGCTTATGTTTATTAATTATTGTCATATTATAAAAGAAAAAAAAATTTGACAAATTATACATCCATCTAATGATCTATTACTCAACATATGGTATATAAATTACATTGTAATGTTATAATATAAAAAAGGTATATAATATATATATAAAATTATGACATAAATTGGGCTTTTGCTTGGTTTTCTTGGCTTGATACCATTTTCATTCAAAAAAATTTTTTTATATATACATATAAATATATTTTATATTGTATTATTATAATGAATAAAGGCCAATGCGATGCGCTAATTTAAAACTTTTCCCCAAAAATTTTGGTTTATATACATTGTAATAATGATAAAAAAGGTGATTTTTATGTATAATAATATATTTTTGGCATATAAAGTCCTTTATTACCGATTTAAAAGAAAATATTATTGTCAATATTGTGCACCTACCACCCACCAAGTCGTTATATCATTATGGTAATTATATATATATATATATAAAAGAATTTATTTTAGACCAAATTTTTTTTTTATCTTCACGCTTAATTTGAGGTATAATATCATCAAAAAAAAATATATATATAAATATTTTTAGAGCAAAGAAGAAAGACATATCGTCTCCAGTCATAATTATTTAAAATATAGGTATTTTTAAAAAATAGGATGGAAATGTTAACTCTGGAGGAAATGATCAGATTAGATTTCTTTTATTAACCAAGTGTTTTCAAAGTTTTTAATACATCTCACTTCTTTTTCTTATGGATCTGAATATCTGCTTCTGTGAAACAGAGTCCAAGAGATCTCTGAGACTGAGGTCAAAAAAAAAGCCTAAGGAGAAAGTAGATATAGACCTGTAAATAACATCGTAGAAATTACTCGCTTCAAAAAAAAAACGTGATCAATCATAACCCTAGTGGAGTCGGAAGATCTTGATATCTGGAGAAATCTTCGATCGTAAATATTTAATTATAGATTAAAAAATAATTTTCATTAAGTTCCCACTTTCATTTTTATGTAAATATTTTTTAAAAAAAAATGTTTGGTATATCAAATACATATCAACTACTTGCCGGACTAGTTTATTTATCTATATACTTTTTTTTATCACTTAATCTCTTTAAAAGAAATAATAAAAATTGAATTATCCTAATAATTAGGATAAACAAAAAAATAACACGTAATTTTTACTTTAAAGTATATTTAAACCATCTTTATATTTTCTTTTGTATCCTTCATTTTGTTTATTGGACAGGTATCCTAGCACCCGACTGTCCAAGCCTGTCAGTGACCTGGATGTCAACTCTACGCTCCGAATTTCATTTTACCATATGTCTTTACACATTCAGCCATCGACGAAAAAACCTGAAAATTTTTACTAACCTGGGACCTTCTGTTTCCAAGCACACATAAACGGCACAATAGAGAAAGAGATGAAGAGTAAAATTAATCAAGGGTAGTTAAAGTGAAGATCTTTATCTGGAGTGCTCTATACAAATTGAAGGGGAAAATTTACTGAACCACCAACATTTATTCTATATAGTTCGGAAACATGGCCAACTACAGACGAGGGAAGTCTACGAACTATGGAGATGAGAAAGCTAAGGATGATTGCTGGGGTACCAAGAAAGGATAAGGTGCGAAGTACAAGAATACTAAGAAGTTTAAAGGTAGTGCCCATTAAGACTAAGATAATGGTAAACTGGGCACACAATGAGAAGGCCTATGAACTACATAGGAAATAAGGTTGAGAGTTTGGAAGTAATGGGTAAACGTAAAAGAGGAAGGCTAAATGGGGCCATAAAGTTAGAGGCAATATGAAGAAGTATATAAAAGAGATATAGCATGAATATGGTAAAGTGGAGAGAGATATTGAAGGAGCTTACCGCCAGAAAAAGGTGAAAGCTAAAAAGAAATATAAACCATCTTTAACGAAAAAAATGAATTTATTATTTTTTTTTTATATAATAAATTAACGTTATTTTTTAATATTTTTAATAAAAAAATGAAATAATAATTTGTAAATGTATAATTTATATAACCAAATATCTTTAATAAAAAATTATTTTCTTTTTATATATCTATTTTTTTTCCCCTGGGATTGGAATCGAAAAGTTAGTAGCATAAGATAGATAGAGAGTGTATCGTATTAAAATAAAGTTTATTTCTTATTTCAAATTCAATAATTTTGGTTGTTTTTTAATAAAAGTAATAATTGTTATATATAAATAAAAATAATATTAAATTTTAATTATTTTAAAGAAAAATCGCTGGAGGGGTTTATGGTGTATGTGCTTGGAAGCGGAAGGTATCCGGTTCAATCCTGATAAGGAACGGTTCACGTTTTTATTCCGATGACTGATGTGTGAAGACATATGATACAATGAATTTCTGAGTTTAGAAATGTCACCCCGGTCACTGACAGGCTTGGACATCCGGGTGGCTAGGATACTTGTCCAATAAATCATTTCTTCATATTGGCTCATAAAGTTATAGATAAAAGAGATAGGAGCTCACCAATAGAAAAAGATGAAAGCTAAAAAGAAAAGAAAAAAATTTATTTAAGGAAAAGCCAAAACAAAAAAAAAAATCGTAAAGAATTAATTGGAATATACAATGTATATTTAATTTTATATTTATCTTTAATTCAATTTACTTATTAAAAATGGGGAGGGGGGTTGTATGGAATTCGCGGGGTTTTTAAAAATTCATTTATTAAAGGGGAAAATTTTAAAAACCGGAAACATCTGATTTTGAGCGGGAATGTATTCCATGTATTTCATTGTTGTAAATGTTAGATTTAATTTGCATAAAGAATTCTTTTGGATTTTGTTGTACTTTATATTTAATTTGCATAAAGAATTCTCTTGGATTTATTATTATAACGCGTGATAAAAATATATATTTGAATAGTTATGAATATTAGTTATAAAGAAGATTGAAAAGAGTATAAAAAGGCCAATTTTTACCATACAAAGGGATCTTTTTTTAATTATTAACTTTTTGTATTTTATTTTTATTTTATTTTTCTTTGTCTTTTTTTTATTATTTTTACTATATAATTTGTTAATTTGATAATGTTATAATTTTGAATAAAGGATTAAATTGATTTCATGATTTCGTGATTCCTAATTATTATTAATTTCTTTTTTATATATATATATTTGTTTTCTATTTTTATTTTTAGGTTCTGATTTCCAATGTCAAATCTTTCCATTGTGACATTCATGAGTAAAAAGGTGACCGAAATTTACAGTAAAGGTTAGTTTCGAGGCGATTTTAAAAGCGGCTAACTCAATATTATATCCATAAAAAATATTACGCACGCTCTGAAGATTTTTACTCTCATAGTTTTTGGCATAAAAGGTTTTTTAGACATCTATCAGCGGAATTTCGAGGCTTTGAGCGATATTTTTTTTCTGGGCTAAAATATGGAAGTTAGCGCCGTTTTTTAAAAATCGGCTCAAATCGATCCTATTCAACAACACTTAGTGAAGGTTTTACTCTATAGATGCTTGAATATTTTTCCCGCTCGAATCAGATCGGTACAAATAATTTAGAATTGTACGATTTCCGATTCCCTTCCATTTCCGGTTATAACATAATTTTCCCCTTTTTATTCCAAGAGGGAATGCCTATTTTCAAATTTCAAAAAAAAAATAATATCCTCCATATCATTTATAATTTGCCTTTGTTCTTCTATATTAATAATTATAGGATAATTTATCATTATTAATTACATATTTATATATAAGTTAGCGTGAATGTGTTTTTTGCGACAATGTGTTACTTAATTTGCTACTTTAAAAATCATTTTTTGAGCGAGTTTTTTTTTTAAATTTAAAGATCGGATATTAACCGGAAATGTATGTGCCGCCATGGAATACTCATCCTATGAATTTCAAATCTTTTCCCAAGAACTTTAAATTTGATATAATTTATATTTCGATTTTCTATATATATTTTTTATATATAAATTATAAATGATTGAAAAGTTAACAGCTCCAAACATGATTGAATATACTTCCGGTAAAATCAGATGTTAAATTTTTTTTAAAAAAACCCAACTCAAAAAAGTGATTTAAAGTTGAAAAAATAGCGCATTGCCGGTAAAAAAAAACATTAAGTATATGATACAAACGAAGTCTCATATGCACTAATTTTTTAGAGGTGTCATCGGTTTTAACCACCCATCTGTTTTTTTCTCGTATTCAGCCACTACCCGAAGTTTTATAAAAGATCTAAACCGGACTATAAACTCCTATTAATGAGTTATATGGTATATGGGAGATAGAAAAATATTATTTCACCCCTCCCCCTTTTCCTTCTTTCTCGAAAAATAGACTTTACAAATTTCATAATGTGATATTTTATGAAAATATTTTTACTTTTATAAATAGTTTTAAAATTATCATTTATTATAAATACATAAAATATAAATATTTTATGGATAAAAATGGCAAAAAAAAAATATATACAAATATTTTTTTATTTAAGTGTGATATTGGTGAGATTTAATATTTAAAAAAAATCGATATAAAAAAAAGGCTTCAAATATATATATACATAAATCCCTGCATTCATTACGAATAGTTAGCTTTCTTCCTGTCTGTTCCCTATATTCCTGTCGTTAACCGGAATTATCTGTTAGGTCCTCCGAATGCCGCATTCTTATTACTCACCCACATTTCTTCGACACTTCGAAGCAATAAGATGTATATTAAATATTTTTACTTTGACAAAGAATTCGTTTTAGCCCGTGTTTCTGTTTTCAATAAACAGTTCAATATAATTGATTAATTAAATTTTTTTCTTCAAAAATATTCATACAATTATAGCTAGTGTTGTTAAACGGTTCGTTTTGAGCCGATTCTTAGAAACAAGCTCGAGATGTGGATAATATAAGTTCTAGACCTTTGTTCTTTCTATGAGCAAAATCTTCAGAACTTACGGTAACATTTTTTCTGGATATATTTAACTTTTTCTTTCTTACCTTTATCGTTCCTTCTTCATTTCTAAAAAAAAACTAGATTCCCTATTTCATCTATCTAATCTCTCTCTCTTACGACGTCAAAAAGTAAAGTAAAAATATAAAATAAAATAACATAACAAATTATATAGGTGTATTTATTTATTTACTATAAAGGAAAGATATAACAACATTAACTTAACTCTATCTAATGTATACATTTATATAATAACCTTCTGATAATATTTTTTGATGGTGCGGTGGTCCTATTTAAAATAACTTTAATTTTCGATAAAAATATCACGTCTTTATTTTATATAAATTGTAAAGGTAAATTTTTTTTCTCTTCCTTTTATATATATAATATAATGTGAATTTATTTTGGTTTAAAGAGAAGTTAATTTTAAAAAAAAAAATTATTATAATAAACTAACCTAATATATACATGTGAAAATAGTATCTTATCTTATGATAAAAATAAAATATATATAAATAATATTATCTTGTCTCGTTGTTCTTTAAAGAAAATGACCTAATTTTCCCCTCTTTAGCCCTTTAAAAAAAAATATGAAATGTCAAAAATAATAAAATAATATTTTACAAGTCTATAGGGCCTGAGTGATTTAGTAAAGAAATCGGTTTTACTAGTGTTGTTAAACGGTTAAAAACGTCTAACTTAATATTTTATTCAGAAAAAAATATTACGTAAGTTCTGAAGATTCTGCTCATAGAAGGAACAAAGGTCTAGAACATATGATTATCGATATCTCGAGACTTAGGGGCAATATTTTTCTGGCTAAAACATTGACTAGGTTTTATACAGTGAAGTATCTTATATAGAAGTCATCTTTTTTTTAAAACCTCTATAAAGAATATGAACTTATTAATTTTGCTTTAATAAAACACAAATTATTGTAGTTTTTTAAAAATGAGTTTTTGTAAGAAAGTGTTGTTTAAAATGATAAAGATTATTATTATTATACAATACAATAATTACGTATACACCTTTTAAAGACCCACAAATCTCTTATTATAAATGAAGTTAATTTTTACGGCGTTTCCCGAAAAGAAAGAACAGAAAAATTTAGTTGAATATATTAAGTATTTTTGTTTCAAAAAATTTAAATAAATAAACCTTAGAATTCTTGGTAGAATTGTCGTAACCCAGCTGGTAAATGCAATGGGATTCGCACTGGGCCCTTATCAGCATAAGTTCGGCTCCCACTTTCTCCACATTTCCGGTTAGGAAGGAATAATGAACCAGGATGATATAATAGAATAACGTTATCTTCATCTCGCAGATTATATTTTGCATAATCTTAACGACCCTTTGCCCAAGAAGATTCAATGACATTTAATTTTATTATATAAAAAAATATTTATTTTTTTTCTTTCAAAAATTATAATTTAAAATGAAAGATGATTTCAAGAAATATTATTAAATTTATATATAAAAAAATAATTTTTTTTTTGATAAAAAATAATTTTATATATTAGGGAAAAAAAATGTTTTTATTTATATATAAAATTTTATCAATAATTTTTTAAACATATTTTTTTAAAAAAATAATAAAATAATAAAATTAAAATAAAATTAAAATTAATAAATTAAATAAAATGAAATGAAATAATAATAATTTGAAATAAAAAAAAATAGGTAGTCACTTCTTTGAAAAGGGTTTTTAAGGAAAAAAAATAAATAAAACAAAAAAAATTATGTCAAGTTGACCACCAAACCTCACTTATTTGAGTATAAAAAGATGAACTATAATTAATTTTTAATATTTTTGCCCTAAAACTAGTAACCATCTATTCTATCAATAAAATTAATCTGAATTTTGTTATTGTAATTAGCTTGGTGGGTATTAAGAGAAATCTTTAATATTTATAAAAAATAATTTGTATTTTTAGCAGTAATTATTTTCCAGCACGTAGTAATATAACAAGTAAGTGTCTAATCCTAAGAAAATTTCAAATATATTTTATTATTTTTCCCATGAAATTTTTAAATCAGTTTTAAATTTGCCCTAAAATTCATGGTGATAAAATATTATAAGGTTAAAAAGTCCAGATTAAGATATTTTAGCCAAATTAATATTATGTAAATCTCAATATGGGCTTAGTGTTCATTTATACAAATTATTTGATTTTTTGTAATATTTTAATATATTTTATTTTTATAAATTATAATTTTATAACCCTTTTAAAAATTATTTTAAAATTAATGTTTATTAATAAATCAATAAAATAATATTATTATGAAGTGAAATTTGAAATTTAAAAAAATACAAAAATGTATATCTTACGATTATACGTTAGAGACAATGTGTTATTTTTTTTGACCTTTAGTTCATCGGAAATATATTCTAGCATGTAATAACCTATCTAATGAATTGTAGATAATTTTATCGTTAAATTTTTGAGAAAAAAAAATATTCTAATATATATTCAATTATATCTTAAGTTCAAAAGTTAATTGGCAAAATTATCCGAAATTCATAGCATATATAACACATTTGTATCGTCAATATTTTTATATTTAAAAAAAAAAATTTAAAAAGAGGGAAAAAAAAATTGATTGTTTTTGCTTCAAGATTTTCTAGTGTATAGTTATTTGGCATGCATGCTAGGAATATATTGCTGAAAAAATTCAAAAAATTAAATGTCACATAGATTACAATTATTATTACTTTTAATTTCTTCCAGTATTATCTCCTTAGCTACTTTATATATATATGAATTGAATTGAATTTGATTTGTATGTGTCTATATATTATTAATAATTGTCTTTAAGAGTTTATTATATACCTCTTTTAAATCACAAAATTTTTATAGATTTCTCGGATTGATATCTAAGCCGTGTTAAAACGGCCCGTTTAGAGTCGATTTTTCTAAAAAGGAGCTCTAACTCAATATTTAATCCAGATAAAAAATTTGACTCAAAGCCTGAATAATTTTTCTCATATTTGGGCACAGAGGTTTTGGATATCTATTTAACCAAATCTTGAAAGCTTAAGCATCGGCTAAAAAAACTATTCTTTTACAACACAACTTAAGCTTGTTACAGATAAATTGTAAAAAAGAACATTTTCGATATCATTTTATTAAAACTTTCCAAGTTTTATATTGTATATACGTTTATCAAGTATTTGTGTTTTTTTTTTGAGGATAAAATATATTTTTGTGTTTTTCACATTTAGGTGCTAGGGAAATTTTTACTGAATTTTTTCTATATATATATTTCTTACTATATATATGTATGTTTTAAATTAATTAAAAATTCTAAAAGAATCTTCAACCAATATTTTGTTATAAATTTCGTGGGAAAAATTTTTAAAAAAAAATTTAAAAAAATTAAATTTAAATAAAGAAGATAAAGAAAAATGAATGTAAGGACAGGAGTGACAAAAAAAAAATAAAAGTTCTAACACGCCTGCTCACTAAGATACCCTTTAATTGGTCACCATATCTTCTTCGTCATTGGCTGAACTGTTTCGAAGTATATAAATACAGATAAATCGATCGAATTTTTAGTAAAAATCGTGGGTATAGTTCACTTAAAATAAAATATTGCTTTAAAATTGACGTGAGAAGGAGAACCAATTAAAACTCTATATTTCGTTCCGTCCAAGGAAGGAAGGAAGGAAGTTTTACATTTGGCCAGAAACAATTTATTTATTCACTTGGCTCGAAGAGATATTTATCAGGAATATTGCCAATTTTGCTAAGGGGAAGATTCTTGTATTGGCCACCTTCAATTAGGGGCCACTTAATTCTTAAGGGTGGTAGTATACCTTCTTAGTAAAATAATATACATTTTATAAATCGAATCGTTTTCTATTTAAGTCATCAAATAAGGGCCTCGGCTTTATTGAATTTAGAGAAATCTGTAGAGGGATCTGTTGTTTCTTTCTTCCATCAGTTACGCCAACGATACCATAGAGATATAGATTACTGAGAGGTGTCAAACTCCTTCATCCTTTTTCATTTCCGCTTATATCGACATACAAAAACGTTTCGTTTCTGATGATTATATATTTTTTTGTTGGATGGAACGTTCCTAGAAATTCGGAATGTTGAGGAAACCTTAATTTCCGGTTTAAAAAAACGTTTATTTCCTGTTCCTGAACCGTTCTTCAAAAATTGTGTACTTTATTTTTTTCCGAATCGTTTTTAGGTTCATGTTTAAATATATTCCGAAGGAACTAATACAATCACAGGAGATGAATCGTGCATCATAAGTTTTCACTTAATATAATAGATTCCATGCATTATGTCTAACTCGTTTTTATTATAGTTAGAGGAAGCAACTACTACTCTGTAACCTGCTAGAATTGTGTAGAAGTAAATATATCTATAGTGATTTATATTAGTTCTGTCACCGGCAGAATAATAGTTATAGTTGAAAATATCATATAATCATATACATAAAATATTAATGCATTTCTTTCATTCTTTCTTTCTTTCTTTCTTACTCTCTTTCTTTCTCTCTTTCTTTCCTTCTTTCTTTGCATTTTTTTGTTTTTGTTTATCCTTAAATATTTATTTTCCAGTAGTTGTTAAAAGATACTTTTCAAATGATGAATCTAGATACAGTTACATCGTCTAAAAAAAATATATCTACATACAGATACTATCTATAAAAGAGTATTATAGATACAGATACCAGTGTTGTTAAATGGCTCTATTTTGGCTCTATTTGAGCCGATTTTTAAAAACGGCTAACTCAAGAGTTTAGCCAGAAAAATATTGCCAAGGCCTTGAGATTTGGCTAATAGATGCCCCACCCTTTATGACATATATGAGTAAAATCTTCAGGCTTAGGCTATTTTTTTTCTTGGGTAAATTATTGAGTTTGCCGTTTTTTATTTTAACAACACTAACAGATACCCCATTTTTTGTATCTAGATACTTTAACAACTCCGATGTTTTCTTGAATCATATCTAGTACAAATATCACGTGCTCCCTATAAGTGAGTGTCGAAAGCGGAACGCCCCCTACTGCTTCAAGACCAAAATGAGAATGAGACGGGAAAGATGGTAATCAAAATAAAAATGCTGTTGTTTCAGGGTTTTAGTTTTACTAGTTAAGAGCGATTATATTTTCCGGCGTTAAAGTTTACGCGGGCTTAATATCTTCAGCTTTTACGACTCCATCATAGCGTAAATCGTCGGCTGAGTCTTATAATGATCTATATCCACATATTATTTTTTTCGCGAATTGCATTGTTTTTTTTTCCCCCGAGATATTCAATCATCCTCAACACTCACGATTTAAGAAATAATTCTTTATTTTTTAATCTTTACTACTAACCGAAAAAATGATGTAAAATGATGAAAAAAATGAACCATTATTATTTGCCGAATAGTGCTGTTAAATGACACGTATTTTTAATTTTTTGGGAAGGGAATTAAAGATTATTCTATCTGCTGAAATTATAAGCAATATAAGATTTGCAAATCTAATTTTTAAATAGTTTAAACTTTTTTAAAAAGGGAGGTATATGTCATTAAATTCATTTTTTCTGGCATCCCCTACCTTTAGGACCTGGCCATAATTTCCCTTCCAAAAAATTAAAAATAGAAGCTGATTTTTTGAAAACGGCTAACTCATTATTTTATCCAGAAACAATATTACACAAGGCTATATATTGAGGTTGTATCTCTTCTCTCTCTTCTTCTTCTTCTCTTCTCTTCTTCTTCTTCTTCTTCTTCTTCTTCTCTTCTTCTTCTTCTTCTCTTCTTCTTCTTCTTCTTCTTCTTCTTCTTCTTCTTCTTCTTCTTCTTCTTCTCTTCTCTTCTCTTCTTCTTCTTCTCTTCTCTTCTTCTTCTTCTTCTTCTTCTTCTTCTTCTTCTTCTTCTTCTCTTCTTCTCTCTTCTCTTCTTCTCTTCTCTTCTCTCTTCTCTTCTTCTCTATCCATTAGCGAAATATTGGGGATTAGGCAATATTTTTCTTTTTTAAAAAATCGACTCAAAGTAAGCCTTTTTAACAATACTAAATGCTAAAATTTTTAAAATTTAATTTTAGAAACATCGAAAGGACACTTCCGAAGATCACTTTTGCCGGAGGAGAACCAGACCGAAAATTGGAATTGTGGCGATGCCCTTGTGGTGTTTATATATTTTTTTAAAGTAAACTATATTTAAAATTAAGGACATTTGTTATTATTATGTATTAGGTTTAAAAATATGGTATTATAAATCTCTGGGAATCTTAAAAATATCATCTACAAAGCTATATTAGTTATCCTAAAAATTTTCCATAATTTATTCAATATCAAAATATTTATCATAATTCATAATTGTAAAATATTTATTTTATAATAATATAATTTTCTCTTCGTCCGTCTAAAAAAAATAATTTTTTTTTTTTAAATATTTGCATTTTTAAAG